AGGCGCGTCACCACATAGCCGTCCTTCGCGCGCTCGGAGCGCCAGCCACCGTGCTCCTTGAACAGACGGTCAGGAACGTCGACGTTCGCCGCGCGCGTCGCGCCCCCGCGGCGCCCCGAGTGCGTGGCGTACTGGTCAGGATCCAGGCCGAGAAGCTGGGCGGCCTCCTTGAACCACGCGTTCACCGTGCTGTAGCAGGGGACGCTGCTGCAGACCCGCTGTCCAACAGGAGTAGAGACAATGTTGCGGATAAGGCCACCCGGCCCGACAGAGGCATAGCCGCCAAAGTGGATCAGACGTTCAACCAACTGAACGATGCATCTTTCGCCTCCCACCCGGGAAATCAGGACCCAGCGGCCCTCGCGAAATTGATCCGTCTTGGATTTCTCCAAGAAGCACTCCATATGCGAAGACTCAAAGCGAATCTCCTGCCACTGAACGGTCATAAGATCGGAAAAACGGAAGAAACCAGCGTAGCACAGAGAGATAGCAGCCAGCTTCATTGCCGAGACCAGGTCAGCGCCGGGAGACAGGAGCCACGTGTCAAAAAGCTGGAAGATGTGGGACGCCAGGAGCGGCTCAGTTTTCTGATTCTTGCCCTTGGTGAGAGTGCGGCGCGCAATCTGGCGCGCCATCGCGACCATCGGATGCTGAGTGGGAGAGGGAAGACCCGCAATCGAATGATGAAAGAAGATGGCGCCAGAACACGAAAGGATAGGACTCGGAGTCTTGGCAGAGCGCAGCAAAAACGTGAAGTAGAGGGCGACCGTCAGCGGAGAGGCAGGAAGAAAAGGAACACCCCGGGCTTGGCAGAAAGTTTTGAAACGTTTCCAATGGCCGCTGTACGTCGAAACTGTGCCCTCCGCGCGAGATTGTGACGCGCGCGCGCGCAGTTCGGACAGGAGAGTCGAGAGAACAGGATCATCGGCCGGAAGGCCAGCGTCTTCGAGAGACCAAGCGTGCTGACCGAAGACGTCTGCAGAAGAGAAGAAAAGAATCAGAACGGAACGGAATATCTTACCGGAAACGGGGATGTCCAGAGCGAAAACGTCGCAGAGGGGAAAGCCGTGGCCGAAGAAGGAAGTAGCGGAACCGCGACGGAGCGTAGCCGGTCCCATAGGAAAGCGGACGGAACGCCGGACAAACGGAGCCCAACCGGAACCGGAACGCAGGAGTGGCCACCAGAACTGACCGGGCCAATCCAGGACGACCAAAACAATGTCGGTGCAAGACTCTAAAGCGTGCTGGAGTACGCGGGGAATGAGCTTGGGCGGCGGGAAGCAATAGCAGCGAAAACCTGACCAGGGTTGAGCGAAAGCGTTCGCCGCGTGCGCGCGCGGCGTCCAAAGCTCTGAGAAGAAAGCGGGGAGCAAGGCGTTATGCTCGCTAGCGAAGCAGTCTATGTCGAAAGGGCCTAGCTGCTGAAGCAAATGAGAGAAAGCCGCAGGCTGAAGACCAAAGTCGTCGTAATCGACAAGCTTCGACAAGTAGTCAGCAAGTTCATTCTGGGCGCGAGGAACCCAGTCCGGAGTCAGGTCGATGTGAAGACTATGGCACAGCCAGAAAATGTCGAGGCAGATTTCCTGAAGATGCTCTAGCCGAGAGCCACCCCTGTCGAGAATCCAGAACACGTTCTGAGCGTCACCGCGCGCGATCACCCGATGCCCGCGAAGAAGATGACCAACAGAACGCAGAAGACGGTGAAGACCTTGGAGCTCGCGCCACGTCGAAGAACGGCAGCCGTGGACCTCGTCCGGAGCCCAAGCACCATGAGCAAAATGCTGCTGACCGCTGATGACCACGTGTCCTCCCCAGCCGTTCGCACCCGCGTCATACTGGAGAACTAGGACGAGGGAGAATTGCCGCCAAATAGGGCGCGCAGAGAATTGGTCAAGAGATGAGGTCCAGAAGGAAAGCTTGGAGAGAGCAGCAGCGTCTAGGGAAACAGTCGAGCGCCAGGAAGAGCGGGTGTTCAGAGCTCGATGCAGGTAGCGAGTAAACAGGCCAGAGACTGAGCCGGTGACCAGCTTCATAGACGCGAGAAGGCCAGTGATACGAGCGAGCAGCTTAGCAGGGACACGCTGAGGTGAAGAGCGCGCGGAGGAGATAGCATCCTGAAGCTTGGTCTTCTGAAGAGCAGTCAAGCGGAAGACGCCACTGAGCATATCAATCACAAACCCTAAAAACTTCACCACGTGGCTAAGCTGAAGCTGACACTTCTCAGTAGAGAGAACGAAACCTGCCTGAGCGAAGTCGCCTAAGACCTGAGCTTTAACCTGAGCAAATTCAGCTGCAGAGCTTGGAATGAAGAGAAAGTCATCTATGTAGGGAATGCAGCGAATACCTAAGCTGCGCCAACGCTGCACTAGCTGTTTGATAAGCTTTGTGAAAACAAAACAGGCGGTTGCTAAGCCGAACGGAAGCTGGCAGAAGACATAGTACTGTCCTTCCCACTCAAAACCAAGAAATTGCCAGAAATCCTGATGGATATCCACGTGATGGTAGCCTGATTTAATATCAACGCTGAAGAGATAGTCCCTAAGCTTGCAAAGTGAGCTGACTTCGCGAATTGATTCATACTTGAATTTATCCACGCGCAGAAAGCTGTTAACATAGCGAAGATCTAAGATCAGGCGGAGTTTGTCTACAGCTTTGGGGACGACGCCAAGAGGACTCACAATGAAAGGCCTATTCTGGACCTGAAGAGCTGCTCCAGAAGCAACAAGAGAGGCGACAGCAGGATACTCAGGATACTCGAAGGCAGAAGGGTAATTCGAGAAGAGCCTCGGGCCAACCGGAGGGTTTGCGGACCAGGGGAGCTGATAGCCAGACGTGAGGATGCTGAGAATGAAGGCAGAAGTACAAAAAGTGCGCCAGAAAGCGATGTGCTGACGTAGGCGGTTGCGAAGCCAGGGTTCAGACTTGGGAGCAGAAGGTTGGCCAGAGGAGGTCGAAGAAGAAGGCTTGGCAGCACGACGAAAACCTTCAAATTCGGCTGCCTCAGTGAGGTCAGCCAGCAGGTGTAAAGACTCCAACTCAGCTGCAGGAAAGAGAACAGGAATAAGCAGTGGATATGCTGAGAATTCAAAAGACCTTCAAAAAAGGTGGACAAAGTGGAACACCAGGAATGCATGGAGGAAAGTACAACACAACGATAGCATCAACTGCAGAGATGTGACAAAGGAACAGGCCTTATCGCAAAGGCAAAGGTTCACCCGAACCAAAGGAACAATGAGTTCCTCTCTGGTTTATAGGACCAGGCAGCTCGCAAGCTGAAAGCGCTCCTGCGCATGTTCCTTACAGAAAATGTCAGTGTCCTGCATTTACTCTGCCTGCCTGCAAAACCTGTGCTGCCTTATTCGGACACTCTGCATTGAGATGGCCATACTGGCCGCAAGAGAAGCATGGACCACGCAGACCTCCACCCTGACCATGCTGCTGGAAACCACCCTGCTGGAAACCACCTTGAAAACCCTTCTGGAAACCACCCTTCTTGCTGCGGAACTTGCGGAAACCAAAAGAGCTCTTCTTCTTCAGCGCAGACTTGTCCTTGGTCTCAGCCTTGACCTCCTTCTTGGCGCGCTTGAGCTTGGACTTCACATCTTCAGGAAGGTCGAGAATGAAATCATGCTCATCAATCTTCTTGGCAACATCCCAGGTCTCAGCCTCTGCAACCTCATAGAAACGCATGCGATCCTGAAGAATAGACAAACCTTCGTCAAGGATCTCGTCCATCTTCTCCAGCTGCTCAGGCGCCATGCCAATCCTAGACTCCTTGGCCTCCGAGACAGTCTCCTTCACAGCAGAGAAGCGGATGTGCGTCTCTTCGAGGGGGATGTAGTTCTTCTTGGCGGCTTCGTTCTTGAACTTGTCCGCCTTCCTCTTCTTGTGCTCGAAGCTTCCAGAAATGGCGTCATGCACAGAGTCCTCGATCTTGTCCTTGATGCTGCTGAGCTCAGACTTCAGGTCACGAACAACAGATGTGAAGACATTGAACATGTCATTCAGGGGATTGCCTGGCTGCAGGGCGTCTTGCTGAAGAGGAGCCTGCTGAGGCGGAACTTGATGAGCTTCCTGTTGCGCTTGAGGTGCATGTTGAGCCTGGGGTGCATGTTGAGCCTGAGGAGCCTGTTGCGCAAAAGCATTTCCAAAGACACCAGGGAAAGCAGCCTGCTGAGGAGCCTGTGCATTGAAGAGATTGTTCCAGAAAGCAAATGGATTCACAGGAGGGACACCTTGGCCTGGCAAGTTCGCGAAGACATTCCGATCGAAGTTTCTAGTTGAAATTTGCATTCTCCCATGCACGATCCTCGCGAGCATGCACGGGGTCTGCAGCTTGTTCGTCGAAGAAGTTGTGCAGTGGAGCCCCTTGGTTCAGATCTACTCCCACCATTGCGACAGTGGTTTGACAAGCAAATCTCAGGAAGAATCTACTGGATCCAAACGGAGAGAAGCAAAAGGAAAGAGAAGGAAGAAAGGAAGAAGTTTAAAGCGGAGTACGAGAGCGTTTGCTGTGGTTACGAGAAGCAGAATGAAACAAAAGAGCAGCAAGCTGCTCTTTTATACGCCGCTGCGCGGCGTCGGCGCGGCGCGGGAAATGATTGCAAATTTCTAACGCGGTTCGCGCCGCGATTCTCAGCGCGCTGCGCGCTCTGAGAATCTACAAATTCT